AAGAAAAAGTAATAAGCAAGTAGAATGTGAAAAAACCAGATTATCCAACTCCAAATATAAACACGTACCGTCCGCGGCCACCTCCATAGCCTCCACCAAATCCACCATCACGTCGATGCTCATCGGTTCCATATCCGTGTCCACCACTGCGAACCGAGTAAGTTCCCTCATCACCACGATTGCCATGTTGATTGAAATGCGAGCCCTAAACGTTGGACGATAAATGCTAAAGGCTTTGAATGAAACCTTGTGCATTCCTCTTCCTTGGTGTCCTCCGTGGCGGCGACCGCTGTTGTCTCCGCTTTCACGACGTTCACGTTGTCCCTCATCACCCTTTTGAACTTCATTTCGTTTCCATGGAGGCACATACTTTCCTAAAGTTAGCTAATTACTAAAGTTAAGCATAAATCTCCTAAAATATACGTTTTTAATCGTACATCGAAAAAACTAGCAGAATTTGCCTATTATACCAAATTAAAAACTTACCATTAGCAGCGCTGTTGCTTGCGTCCGAGTTTTCAACATTTTCACTCATCTCTGCAAAATGAAAATCTTAAGAAAGTTGCAGAGAAGAAAACACTGCCAAAAAAATAAAACGAAAAGTTAAGTCTTAAATCAAGACCATCGATTACAACTAAACTAGGTAGGTAGGCAAGACGGTTGAAACTTTGTACAAATTTAGTAAAACAACCGCAAACTACTGATATTTAAAGCTTTTCAACGCTTTAACGGCAAGAAAAATAATCTCAAAAGAAGTTAGAATTGCTGTAAGAAAGTCAGAAACAAGGCGCGCGCGTGAGCTGGAAACGAAAAAAACAAACGCACTTTAGAAGCAAATTGCAGTTGCAAATACATTTGGAGTGGGACAAATGCGACCTTTTTTTTTCCGCACTTAGCCCATTAGCGCACCTTTTTTCGCATTTTAAAAAAGCTCTAAAAGCTAATATTAACCAATTTCTATTCCAAAAGTTGTTTTTCTAGGTAATTTGAGGGTGTCGAATTCAAATTTTGACATAACAGAACGTGTGGAACCAATTTGAAAGACAAAACGGCTAGGTCAAATTACAGAAAATTGTTGATTTTTCTCTTTGTATAACTCCGTCCGTTCGCTTCCACAAGCTGTTATGTCAAAATTTGAATTCGACACCCTCAAATTACCTAGAAAAACCACTTTTAGAATAGAATTTGGTTAATATTAGCTTTTAGAGCTTTTTTAAAACGCGAAAAAAGGTGCGCTAATGGGCTAAGTGCGGAAAAAAAGGTGCGCAAATGTCCGGGTGCGCAAAAAAAAGGTCGCGTTTGTCCCACTCCCCGTTTCGAGTGTCCCTGTAGGGAGACACTTTTTTCGACGTTTTTTGCCCATAACTTTCTTCAAATTTAACTTTTTCCACTGATTTAGTTATCATTTTCACAAGAGTCAATTGCTAATGGGCCGGGTCGTCACTCTCGCAAATGGTGGAAAAGCTCGTCTTCCAGGATGGTTCAAAGCAAATCGTGTTCAACTTATCTCAGCTCCTCCATACAGCCCAGATTTGAGCATCTTTGGGCTTTTTTGAAGTCAAAGCTGAAGGGAAAGCGATTCAACTCGAAGATAGAGCTTTGGTACTTCATTCGCCGTACCTGGTCATCCCCTGGGAGCCCAAATTCTACGCGATTTAGTTGATTCAATGCCAAAGGGGATCCAGGAAGTCATCAAAGCTAAAGGTGGACCAACGAAGTATTAAAAATTTGGTAATTTCTATGTTTTTTTTTCAAATGTTACAAGGCTTTTGAGCATCAAAAATACGCCCGTTTTTTGTTTTTATTTGTTTTTCTTAATTTTTGTTAATCGTTTCACTAAAGTTTTTCTTGCATATAAAAATAGAAGTTTTTGACAACTGAAAACCAAAAACTGTTTGGGAATTTGCCTTTTTGCAAAAAAGTTATTACACTTTGAAATTTGCTAAACTGGATGTTACAAGACTTTTGTGCATGACTGTATTTGATGTTATGGCGTTGTCCAACTGGTCTCCGGATCAAGTGATTGCCATTAGGGTTGAAGAGATTGATCTTCGACTCATCGGTGAAAATGACATTGGCCCAGTCATTCGGCGTCCAACTTTGGTACTTTTTTGCGGACTCGAGTCGGATCTTCCTGTGCTTGGCAACCATCAGAGGCTTCTTGGCGGCCCTTCTAGTTATCAATCCTGCTCGATTCAAGCGTCGGCTCACTGTCATTCGATTGATATCCTTGCCGAATTGTTGCTTGATGAGGCAAACACCATCCGACGCGTTAAGATTCGGGTCCTTATTGTGCGCCAAAATCAAAGCCTTGTCTTCGCGTGGTGTAGTGGCTGGTGGCCGTCCACTTCCTGGTGTCCTGTGCAAATTTCCAGTCGTTCTCGACTTCGCAGCAATGCGAGAAACGGTTCTTACATCACATTTGAACAGCTCGGCCAACTGTTTCCGCGGGATTCCTTGTTTCCTTGCTTCAACAATCTTTTCTTTGTCTGGCGTTGAGAGCCGTGATTTTACCATTCTAAAATTAAAAAAAATTAGCATAAAAGAATACAATCAAAAAAAAGTAAAACGGAAAAAAAGCAGGTTCAAGTTAAATGTGACATTTTTTTTGTGCACCCGTTTTTGGTGTTCTTCCGGTATTTATTGAAAAATAAAAATTTAAACAAATTGCTGGAACTTTAACACTTTTTCACAAGAAAGTAGAAGCTTTTTGCTATCTAAAACCTTTTGACAGCATAGAATTTGGAACACGTTTAGTAGGTCAAATTTAGGCGTAAAGTTTTGTAAAAACGATGTGACATTTTTTTTGTGCATGGGTGTAAGTTTGAAGAAAGTTATGGACAAAAAACAACAAAAAAAATGTATATTGGGGGTAGGCTAATTTCCGCCATGCGCCATGCGCCAACTCGCGATAACTTTCTTCTAAGTGGGGCCAATCTTTATGATTCTGGTGTCATTTTGTTGCACTTATTGAGATCTACAAAAAAAATGATCTCAATGAGTGCAACAAAATGACACCAAAATCATGAAGATGGCCTACTTAAAAGAAAGCTATGGCGAATTGCGCAAATAAAATGGCGAAAATTAGCCTACCTGTATATTCCAAATAAAAAAATTTTTATCTATTTATATTAGGTTGGTGAATTCAAAACTGCGGGATTTTGAACTAAAGTTTATTCAACATAAAACCATCAATTTATTCCAAATAATTTCCATTATTATTGACGACTTCTGCCCATTTTACAGGCAATTTGCAGATTCCTCTTTCGCTTTTGGTTTGTATGTGAGACAAGTGTGAGACTCAAAAATGGAGGACTGGAGATGTCCCAGTTTGAGCACTTTCTTCAAAAGAAACCCATTTTGGTGTTAATAGAAAAGTTGTAGAGAATCAAAAATTAGGTTTATAGCCAAATTTCCAAAAAGATACACTTAGTAGTTTCGCTTAAAATGCAAGTTTTGTGAAAATTCGTAAATTTGGCATTTCTTGAAAACCAATTTTTGAATCGTTCTGAAAATTTGGATATAAGCTTAATTTTCGATTCTCTACAACTTTTCCATTGACACCAAAATGGGTTTCTTTTGAAGAAAGTGCTCAAACTGTCACATATGACAATAGCCCGCAGTTTTCAATTCACCAATCCAATAGTAAAAAAATGATTAGCTTTTGAATTAAATACTGAATATCTTTACTTTGGAAAGAGAGATGTTTAAAAATGCAATTTAGAAACGAGTGGTACCATTGTGGGAGTGGGACAAATGCAACCTTTTTTGCGCACCTTTTTTCGGGTTTTAAAAAAGCTCTAAAAAGCTAGTATTGACCAATTTCCGTTCGAAAAGTTGTTTTTCTGGGTTATTTTAGGGCGTAAAATCCAAATTTTGACATACACACAATTTTTGCAAATAAACCGCCCAAGAAGTGAGAATTTCGCAAATGTGGTTTTTTTTCGCTATGAAACTTTGATACAATTTTACAAATATTCATTATTCTAAGGTAAATTTTTGCGTAGATTCCGAAAATCGTAGTTTCAGAGCGTTTCCAGCGCTCTATCATAAAGAAAAACAGCTTTGAAAATCAAAAATTTTGAGCATCCCATCTTGTGCGCGCTGAAATGCGTCAAAAAAATACCGTATTTCTAAATATTAATATCAAAATTGTGTAGCCCTTGAAAAGAGCTTTCAGAAAAATGTATAACACTAATAGTTTAAACTCAAAGATAAGGGAGTTACAGATGCGCGAAAGTGACAATGACAAAAGTGACGCTTTTCAAGTATGATATTTCATTGTCCAGTACTGTATATCTACTTTTCGACCCATACGATCGTGAGCCGATTTCTGGGATGACAAGCAACTGCTAAAATTAAATTAGATTAAAGTAAAGTACCGCTAGATTGTGCTTGATAGCTTTCCCTGACTTCCATTTAAATAAAATTAGATTGTAGGATTGAGCTATTCACCCCAATCATTAGACGTCTGATATCCTCCTTCAGAGTCACTAAAGGTTAATTGGAAAGTTATTCAACTGAAAGTTCAAATGATTACCAGATTGTGATCCACTTTAAACATTCGGGTTCTCATTTCCTTGTTCTCATTTCCTTGTTCTCATTTGCTTGATCTCATTTGCTTGATCTCATTTGCTTGATCTCATTTGCGTGTCTAAATCCCTCCAAAGCCACTTAGACAAAGCTTTGGAGAGATTCAAACACACAAATGTGATCAAGCAAATGAGAATCCGATTAGCGGTAAGATGTTTAAAAATCTCATAAACAAGAATTGAAATTGGAAAGAGGAAATTCTCAAAGCAAGTCTCAAAGTGAACAATTTCGAGGAATTGAAAGAGCTGAAAGGAAAGTTTAACTTAATTTCTCATTAAGTTAACTTTTTTAAAAATCTTTGCAATTCACAAAAACAGTAGGAGCCAGGGGAATTGTTGATAAAGAATTGAGTTGATGATAGCTTGATGATAGCTAAAAGATCGCTTGTAAACGTTAAAACTTGCCGTAAAAAGTTCGAAATCTTGAATCTCTTTTAGAAAACACTCAAAAAGCAGTACCAGTAGTGTTTTCTAATATCTAATTGTTGATTCACATGAAAAAAGAAACGCTATAAAATCAGTAAAGTGA